TTAGTGTAGTTCTGGGCTCCAGTCCCATCGCCACCAGTCCCACCACCTCCACTGCCGCCACTCCCACCGCTGCCTCCACCACCGCCACCAGAGCCCCCACTCCCGCCAACAGTCGCACCGCCGCCACCACCTCCACTGCTGTCCCCACCACCTTCGCTGCCACCTCCACCACTGCTGCTGCCACCACCACCACCCCGTCCATCCTTGCCCTTGCTGCTGCGGTGCTTCGCAGTAGCAGAAGCAGCCCCGACGTCCTCAGGAACAGAGACGTCTGCAGCAGCAGCAGCAGAGGCGTAGGAGGGGGCAAGGGGGGAGGGGGAACACCCCTCAAAGAAGGGCGGGCGCGGAGTGCCACGAGCAGCACCTACAGCAACTGCACTAGTCTCAGCTGCGAGGAGATGCTGCTCGAGGAGGTCAACAGTGAGAGAGGTGGGGTCAAGAGAGAGGAAGTGGTCCCTGATAGAGCGAAGAGGGTCAGCGAGGCGGGTGACTAAAAAGTAGAGAGTGATGTATATCGGGGGCGGGTTCCTTTCAAGGAACTCAGTAGGAACGGCAGCGCAGTAGCGAGCATCACTAGCGCGAAGGTGGGAAACCAGGTCCTCGACTGTGGCAAAGGCGGATAGCTCCGGGAACAGGTAGGGCACAAGGAGGCGGCCTAGAGCAGCAATGGCAAGGGAGGAGTAGTGGGCGACTACAACGTCGTACAGCGTCTGCGCTGTCCTGTGCTGTCCGAAGTGAGTGCATTCAGCTAATGGCAGGTGGTTTCGAATGGCTAAGCAGGCAGCAGCCGCGAGTAAGCCACTGAGAGTGAGTCGAACTGTCAGATGTGGCGGGAGGGGCAGTAGCAGCGCCTGACGCTAGGTCAAACAGTGAGACACTGTCCTTAGAATCGCTCAGTAGGTACAGCTGCAGGTTGTCAAGCCACGTGTCAAACTAAACTGGTCTACCCTCATGATCAAACGCAAGGACCCGAAGCGAAGCCATAGCTGTGCAGTACGCAGGAGCAGCAGTAGCAGCTGTAGCAGTTGCAGCAGTGACAGTGGGGCTAAGAGGCCGAGGGGGTAGGGGTCGACTGGGCCAGGTGCGCGGGCTAGAGACGAGGCCGGGCGCGGGGCTAGGGGCCGACGGGGCTGGGCGCGAGGCTAATGGTCGACAGGTGGCCGTGCGCGAGCTAGGGACGGGGCCGGGCACGGGGCTAGGGGCCGACAAGGGGGCCAGGCGCGGGCTAGGGACGGGGCCTGGCGCGGGCTAGGGGTCGTCGTGGGGGCCAGGCGTGGGCTAGGGATGGGGCCGGGCGCGAGGCTAGGGGCCGACGTGGCCGGGCGCGGGCTAGGAACGGGGCCGGGCGCGGGGCTAGGGGCCGACGGGGCCGGGCGCGGGCTAGGGACGGAGCCGGGCGCTGGGCTAGGGACGATGTTGGGCGCGGGGCTAAGGGCCGACGGGGCCGGGCACGGGCTAGGGACGGGGCCGGGCGCTGGGCTAGGGACGGGGCCGGGCGCGGGGCTAGGGGCCGACAGGGCCGGGCGCGGGCTAGGAACGGGGCCGGGCGCGGGGCTAGGGGCCGACGGGGCCGGGCGCGGGCTAGGGAAGGGGCCGCGCACTGGGCTAGGGGTCAACGGGCCGCTGGCTAGGGGTCGACGGGCCGCGTAGGCTAGGTGCAACGGGCCAGGCGCGTAGACTAGGGGCGACGGGCCGGGCGCGCGTAGGCTAGGGGCGACGGGCCGGGCGCGTAGGCTAGGGTCGACGGGCCGGGCGCGTAGGCTAGGGTCGAGGTCGGGCGCGGGGCTAAGGGCCGACGGGGCCGGGCGCGGGCTAGGGATGGGGCCGGGCGCTGGGCTAGGGACAGGGCCGGGCACGGGGCTAGGGGCCGACGGGGCCGGGCGTGGGCTAGGAACGGGGCCGGGCGTGGGGCTTGGGGCCGACGGGGCCGGGCGCGGGCTAGGGACGGGGCCGGGCGCTAGGCTAGGAGCGACAGGCCAGGCGCGTAGACTAGGGGCGACGGGCCGGGCGTGCGTAGGCTAGGGGCGATGGGCCTAGGGGGATGCTAGCAGCGTAGCAGGTGGTGGGCCCAAGGAACCTGCTCTGATACCATATCAAAGTAGCAAACGAGAATGGATGAACTAGCAAAGAGTTGGGTACAAGTACTAACCCTAATTGGGCTGTACCCCTTATGGGCTACCCCACTATAGCCTACACAAATGTAAAAGCTACAATGTTCTGACACCACTCCCTCCGCTGCCTCCACCGCCGCCACCAGAGCCCCCACTGCTGCCATCAGTCCCACCGCCGCCACCACCTCCACTGCCTCCACCATCTCTACCGCTGCCCCCACCGCCGCTCCCACTGCCACCTCCACCACCACCGCTGCCTCCTCCACCACCCCGGCCACCCTTGCCCTTGCTGTTGCGGCGCTTCGCACTTGTCGAAGCAGCACCGATGTCCTCAGTAACAGAGACATCTGCAGCAGCAGCAGAGGCGAAGGAGGGGGAAAGGGGGGAGGGGGAGCACCCCTCAAAGAAGAGCGAGCGCGGAGTGCCATGAGCAGCACCTACAGCAACTGCACTAGTCTCAGCTGCAAGGAGATGCTGCTCGAGGAGGTCAACAGTGAGGGAGGTGGGGTCTAGGGTGAGAAAGTGGTCCCTAACAGAGCGAAGGGAGTCAGGGAGGCGAGTGACTACGAAGTAGAGAGTGATGTACATCGGGGGCGGGTTCCCTGCAAGGAACTCGGCTGAGAGGGCAGCGTGGTAGCGAGCGTCGCTAGAGCGCAGGTAGGTAATCAGGTCCGCTACTGTGGCAAAAGCCGACAGCTCATGGAACAGGTAGGGCAGTAGCAGCCTGCCAGGAGCAGTAGTGGCAAGGGAGGAGGAGCGAGCAACGACAGCGTCGTACAGGGCCTGTGCTATCCTGTGCTCTCCAAAGTGAGCACATTCGGTCACGGGCAGGTGGTTGCGAATGGCTTAGCGGGCAGTAGCGTCACGAGACAGCCACTGGGAACGAGTCGAACCGTCAGCTGTGGCGGGAGAGGGTGGAGCGACACCGGACACGTGGTCAAACAGTGAGACACTGTCCTTACTATCGCTCAGTAGGTACAGTTGCAGATCGTCGTGCCACGTGTCAAATGCAACCGGTCTGCCCTCCTGATCGAACGCTAGAACCCTAAGCGAAGCCATAGTGGTGCAGGACTCAGGAGCAGCAGTAGCAGTAGTAGCTAAGGGGCCAGGGGGCGGGGCCGAGGGGCCTAGGGGCTGAGGGGCCAAACACCAGGGTGGCGGGGCCGAGGGGCCAAGGGTCCTAGGGGCCGAGGGGCCGAGGAGACTAGGGGCCGAGGGGCCAAGGGGCGGGGCCGAGGGGCCAAACACGAGGTAAAGGGGGCCAAGGGGCCTAGGGGCCGAGGGGCCAAACAAGAGGGTGGCAGGGCCGAGGGGCCGAGGGGCCAATGGGCCTAGGGGCCGAGGGGCCAAAGAGGCCTAGGGGCCGAGGTGCGCGGCTAGGGGCGACGGGGCCAGTGGGGCCGAGGGGCGCGGCTAGGGGCGACAGGGTCGACGGGGCCAACGGGGCTGAGGGGCGCGGCTAGGGGCGACGGGGCCACTGGGGCCGAGGGGAGCGGCTAGGGGCGATGGGGTCGACGGGGCCAACGGGGCCGAGGGGCGCGGCTAGGGGCGACAGGGTCGACGGGGCCAACGGGGCCGAGGGGCGCGGCTAGGGGCGACGGGACCAACGGGTCCGAGGGGCGCGGCTAGGGGCGACGGGGCCAACGGGACCAACGGGGCCGAGGGGCGCGGCTAGGGGCGACGGAGCCAGTGGGGTCGAGGGGCGCGGTTAGGGGCGACGGGGTCGACGGGGCCAACGGGGCCGAGGGGCCGGGCTAGGGGCGACTGGGCCAACGGGGCCGAGGGGCGCGGCTAGGGGCGACGGGGCCAACGGGGCCAAGTGGCTAGGGGCGACGGGGCCAACGGGGCCGAAGGAGCGCGGCTAGGGGCGACGGGGCCAACTGGGCCGAGAGGCGCGGCTAGGGGCGACGGGGCCAACGGGGCCGAAGGGGCGCGGCTAGGGGCGACGGGGCCAACGGGGCCTTGGGGCGCGGCTAGGGGCGACAGGGCCAACGGGGCCGAGAGGCGCGGCTAGGGGCGACGGGGTCGACGGGGCCAACGGGGCCGAGGGGCGCGGGTAGGGGCGACGGGGCCAACGGGGCCGAAGGAGCGGGGTTAGGGGCGACAAGGCCAACTGGGCCGAGAGGCGCGGCTAGGGGTGACGGGGCCAACGGGGCCGAAGGGGCGCAGTTAGGGGCGATGGGGCCAACGGGGCCTTGGGGCGCGGCTAGGGGCGACAGGGCCAACGGGGCCGAGAGGCGCGGCTAGGGGCGACGGGGTCGACGGGGCCAACGGGGCCGAGGGGCGCGGCTAGGGGCGACGGGGCCAACGGGGCTGAGTGGCGCGGCTAGGGGCGACGGGGCAAACGGGGCCAAGGGGCCGAGGTAGGGGCAGCGACGGGCCGGGGCCTAGGGGCCGTGAGCGACGGGCCCTAGGGGCCGTGAGGTGGCGCGACGTGCCTAAGGGGCGCGACGGGCCTAGGGGGGGGGTACTAGCAGCGTAGCAGGTGGTGGGCCCAAGAAACCTACTCTGATTCCATGTGAAAATAACGAACGAGAATGAGATGAACTAGCAGCAGGACGAGTACAAGTACTAACCCTGAGTTGTGTTGTACCCCATATAGGCTACCCCACTACAGACTACACAATGTGCAGCATATAAGTTTGACACACGCGTGCCCTTAGACTTAGCCTCACATCTCAAACCGCTGGTGATGCTCTGTGTGTATGTCTTTCAATTCCCCACTGGCGGCACAACTGATGCAGTATCAGCAGCGCTACAGGAGCAGCTGCAGCACATGGCGGACACTCGTGTCCCAGAGAGTGACCTTGCTCGTGTCCGCAAATCCCTCCGGGTTGGCTTCCTTGTGAGTCCTGCCCAGCTAGCGTCTCTTATGAGTCGAAACAAAAAATGTATGAGTCGACTGAAAAGCACATGGTGGGCACACGTGCGCCCGAGAGTGACCTCGCTCGGGTTCGCAAGTCCATTCGGTTCGGCGTCCTTGTGAGTGTGCCTCGATTGCAGTTGCCCTCTGCGATCGTCTCTTGTGAGTCCTGTCTTTTCCTCATCCATCCTCCAACGCTTGTCAAATTTGTGTCATTCTGTTCCCCTTTCTCTGTTCCCACTCTCTCAACAGGAGCTCCTAGGCAGCGATTCCGGCTTGGCGCGGGTGCTCTGTGAGTATTCCACGCGGGCGGGCAGATGGGAGGTGCTAGTGGAGGAGGTGCAGAACATTGAGGAGGTCACTCCCAGATGAGACGTGTAATAGTTTCCCCTTACCGAATCTCAGTCCCATCACTTCAAGCATGCTTCTCTTTTCCCTTCCCCTCTCGTTCCTTGCCCCCCTCTCTGTTTTTCCTCCCTCGTCTCCCCACAGGAACTCCTAGGCAGCAATTCCGGTCTGGTGCGAGTGTTGTGTGAGTATTCAACCAGGCCGGGCAGATGAGAGGCACTTGTGGAGGAGGTGCAGAGCATGGAGGAGGTCACTCCCCGGGACGTGCTACGTCCCCCCCCTACCGACCCAAGCATACCTCATTTCTTCCGTATTCTTCTACCCTCTCTCTCTCTGTGCCCCTCGCCCTTTCTTTTGCCTCACTTACCAGGAGCTCCTAGGCAGCAATTCCGGCCTGGCGAGGGTCCTCTGTGAGTATTCAACCAGGGCGGGCAGATGGGAGGCACTAGTGGAGGAGGTGCAAACGATCGAAGAGGTCACTCCCAGTGACGTGCAGCAGGTAGCTCGTTTGTTGTTCTCTCCCGATATGCGCATCACAGCACATGCTGTCAATGCCTAGTGCGTGGCTCATGTGTTTGTGATTGCAACAACGTTGAGGCTAGTGGGATGGGAAGCCCTGGTGGAGGAGCGAAAGGAGGTACAGAGCATAGGGGAGGTCACTCCTAGGGACATGCAGCAAGTGGCCCGTTTGTTGTTCTCCCTGATATGCACATCACAGCACATGCTGTTAATACGTATGTAGGTAGATTTGATGATGCAATTGCGAGCCCCTCATTCATTCTATTTGTGGGTGTATAGCACTTGATTTAAAATTAGCAGGATCATCATTCCCTTTTCTCCCTCGTCTAAGCATGCATGTCACATATCATTTTAAAATTCTGTCAATCCTGACAATTGTTTATCAATAGTGACTTTTCAAAGCGTTGATATGGGTGGTTTAGATGTGAATGTATGTTTCTGCATATGTATCACCCAACTGGAAATCATTATTTGCTTGTAGTAATTGTTTTGATTTCGCAACAGTACAAACTGTTACCGGATAGGGTCTTCACTTCGCGGACACAAAGCTTCTGCTACACGTGTTGAACCATGAGTGTGAGACCATTTCCGACTAATCGTAGTCGAGTCGCGACGCGGAATTAGCTAGCATTTTACAGTTTGCATATCCACGATCGTCATGGCCGGCGCGAGTAGCTTCATTCGCCGAGGGCGTCCCGCGACGGCGGGAATAACGACGACCGGACGAGTTGGTAGCGTTATTAGCAGTGGAGGAACGGCCACAGGAACCACAGAGAGCACAGGAATCATCACAGGAACCACCGCAGGCGGCACAGCAGTCACGCCAGGCACAGCAGGCACGGCAGGAACGGCAGGAAGCAGAGCAGCGACGCTCGCTCTTCCCGGAACGAGATTCGCGGCTGGAGCTCGACTGGTCACCTCGTCAGGCCTCGCTGGGCTCGATCATATCCCCCTCCGAGCGAGTCGCTACCCACCTACCTTTTGGAATCTCTCTAGACTGACCCTTTTGTATTCTCCAGAGAACTCTCAAGCTGAATTGTGTATATTTTTTTCGCCTTATGCATGTTTTCTCTCTCCCTATGCACCTCTCCTCTCCTCCCGTGCAGATTGCCTCTCTTCCCAAGCACCATTGTCCAACCAACCTGCTGTGGCTTCCTTAACCGGTCCATGCTCCCCCTCTTTCCCCAAACTGCCCCCGCTTCTCCTTCCTCCGCCACTCCTTCCTCCCCTTCTCCTTCTCTTCCCATCACCCCCTTCCCCGTCCCTTCATGTTCGCCCTTCTCTACCTTCTCTTCCCCCTCACCCTCTTCTCTCAATCCATCTAACCACAAGCCCTAGGAGGGGGCTATCCAGTGGGCGGTATCGTCCTATTGCTAGAGGACCCTCTCTCACCCCTCCACCTCATCCTCCTCCGCTACTTTCTCTCTCAAGGCCTCTCCCAATCCCACCCACTCCTCCTCCTCTCGCCCCTCCCCGATCCCCAAGCCTTTCTCGCCACGCTCCCGGCGCCAGCCGAGGGAAAGGCAGGTTCGGGAGCGCTCGCAGGTCCGGTTGGCCGGGCAGGTCCGGGAGGGCTTTCCGAGCCTCAAGGCCTGGGTTGGTCGCAGGAGGAGAGAAGAGCAGGGGGAGTCGGAGGGGGAGAAAGTGTGGGGGAGGGGGGAAAGGGGGGTGATGGGTTAAGAATAGCATGGCAGTATAAGCACTTGGCTCCCCAGTTTACCGGAGTGGGATTAGGAGGGCCGGTAGGTGCGTCTGTACCGTACTGCACCGAGTTTGACCTCCGCGCACCGCTGTCCCGGCCGTCGCTAAGGCATGCGCAGCAGCTGTGCACGTGTGTACCCATGGGGGTAGATGCGGTGATGATGATAGGGACAGATGGCAACTGCGCTCAGCAGGCGCAGCAGCAACACCAGCAGCAGCAGCAGCAGCAGCATCAGGGGGAAGAGGAGGGCTCGGGACCAGCGTCAGATTTCACACAAGGCTTCTTTGGCCGTGTGTCAGGCTTCCTCTCCTCCATTGACTCCCCCACACCTGGGGGGTCTACAGGAATTGGGGAACGAGGCATGGAAGGGAGAGGAGGAGGAAGCGGAGGTGGCGGGCGAGGGGGAGAAGGGGGGGGAAGGGTGGGTCGCATTGGTGTGCATTCTCTGGGAGCTCCTCCCGCGTTGCTGCTGTCAGGGAATGATGCCCAGGTGAGTCCAGAAATGGAATCGAGACGGGGATACTCAATCAAATTGGGAACTGAACGAGAACGTTTGAATGAATCATTTACCTATTTACCTGGAACAAAATTCATTGTTCCGTGAAATTTCCTGCTTCTTTCTTGAATTTATCCGTTTCCAACCCTGCAGGCCTGGCAGGTACTTGCGTGGCTGCAGTGGTTGAAAGGCTGTGTCCGCACTTTACCAGTGACGGTCCTTGTAACAGTGCATAGAGATGAAGGGATCGTTCCTCCACATTTGCTGCTGAGGCTGCAGCATGCTGCAGACGTGGTACTGGCGATGGAAGCACTGGAAGGTGGGTGGTAGCTGGTGAATGCATCATGAAGTGTGCATGTGTAGTGCGTTTTTTCAAATGTTCTGCTGAGACTGCAGCACGTAGCAGACGTGGTGTTGGCGATGGAGGCTCTGGAAGGTAGGGGGGAGCCTGGTGACTGTGTGAATGCATAAAGTGCGCATTCGTAGTGCGTGCTTCTCTCAAACGTGCTGCTGAGACTGAGACTGCAGCATGCAGCAGACGTGGAGTTGGCAATGGAAGCACTGGAAGGTAGGTGGTGAATAGGGTGCAGTGTGCGCAGGCATGCATGTGTACATTGGTAGTGCTTTGAATGTGCTGCTGAGACTGAGGCTGCAGCATGCAGCAGACGTGGTGCTGGCGATGCTCTGGAAGGTATGGCCAATATCATTACCTCTCATACATTCCACACTGTGTGCATGTGTGCATGTGTGCATGCACTTTCTCGTGTGCTTGTTTCCACAACTGCATGCCAATTCTTCACAATTTTTACTAAATCTGTGTGTGATTGGCTGGTGCTGTGCTGCAGAGGACAATGCAGAGATGGCCAGTGGCATCTCGGACTACAAGGACGCCTTGGGCCTCATTCGCATCCGCAAAGTCTCCGTGCAGAACTCCCTGGTAAGCCCACTGGCATTGCATTGCATCTGATTCTGAAAGAAGTAATCCGTCATATCAGGGCCGTCAGCCAGTGAACGTTGCAGCAGGGACATAATGTGACCTGCATGGCAACAGTGAGTCAGTGACCATGTCAATACCCAGGTACGCTAGATTCAACGCAGGAACACGACAATGAGTTGTTTCAAATTCTGAGGTTTATTGATTACTTCTGCAGGTGCCTCGTATGCCAACACATTGATGCCACCGGCTCTCAGTTCGTTTCTTGCCTCTCATGATGTCCTCTTCGCCTATCAGGTGCCTCGTATGCCGGCAGTGACCACTCTGGTGCTGAGAGCAGTGAACAGGAAGCGACAGATAGTGGTGGAGGAGGCACACCCACCCCCCATCGATGCCACAGGGGGAGCAGCAGGTTCAAGCGGTGGAGGAGGCTCGGTTGGATGTGGTAGTTCAGGCGGGGGAAGCGGTGCTCTGGATTTCTGAATCTACCCAAAAAGTGACTTATGAGTCGACTGAAAGGCCACAGGGGGAGCAGGCTCAGGCAGCGGGGGAGGCTCGGTTGGATGTGGTAGCTCAGGGTGGGGGAGCAACGCTTTGGATTTCTGAGATGTCAGACGGTTTGGTTATAAGCTTCTAGTTTTGAGACCCTTGTCTATCAAGCAGTATTGCTTGACTTGTGCATGAAGCAGTCTGGATTAGAGCAAAAAGTCAACAAGGCAAAGGTCAGTGTACTAAGAAAAGAGGCGTGCCAACAACATTTGTTGTACCGTACAGAAGATTTAGATGCCATTTTTGTTGACCAGGAGCGGTACATGACTCTGTTTTCTGCGCTTGACTCATAACTCCCGTCGATCCGGCGTCAGCATTGGCTTTAGCTGCGTTGTATTTCTCAAGCTCCTCGTACCGTATTCTCCCGGACAAAACACCCCCCCGTAATTGTACACCCCCGGGTAGCTTGTGCGGGGTGGGTGTTATGATAGACCTCGTTTCTACTATACCCCCCTTTTTTGCTGATTTTATATAACACCCCCCTTTTCTTACGAATTCGTTATAATAGTCGTTAACGAGTAGCTGCAATATTGAAGAATATCACGAAAATTTCTCCCTAGATGAAATTTCGCGGTACATTCACTTACAATCTACCAAGATTTCCCCCCTCGCACTACTTCGCTGTGACCACGTGCAGGCGAATCTTCCGCTGCAAGTGGCAAGACAGCTGCCACATGGCATTTTCGTGGGGGTGATGAAGCTCGTGGCCGAAACCCACATTCGCGCCTCAGACAGTGATGTTAAAATGAAAATCAAAACACCCACATTGTCTAATTAAATAAACACTAACACTAAAATATACCATATGTAAAGACCCGGGTATTATGTATTTTTTTCCTATGAGGAGACCCCCCCCATTTTTTCCCTGTATTTTTAGCTATACCCTAGGGTGCTATGTCCGGGAGAATACGGTAATACATTTCCCACACGCACGGGCTGCAACCGCTACCGCAGCAGTCACCTGGAAGCGGCTTCTCTGGCGGCTCGAGGTTCAGCCGGTTCATTCTTGCGATAGCAACGGTCGAAAATGAGTCTGGCACGAAACAACGGTGATAGCAACGTGCTTTCAAGCGTAAGAGGTAAGGCTTGATGTTGCTGATCATAGACAGATGCTATCATAAACAGCCTGATCATAGGCAGGCTGAGGACGTCAACTCACGCTATCTCGTATTCACGACTGAAGACGCATAATGTCAGAATCCCAACCACTAGACCATTGGGATAAAAGGGCTTGTTAAGTAGCGGGTCAGTGCGCCCATAACCCCCCAGGACAACGTGCCTGTAACCCTTCCCTAGGATCAATCGGGGATCACCAGTGGACCTCTGACACATAATTGGCGAACAATTTGAGGACTGAAGATGAGACACGCATATCTCGTACAGGTGTGAGTGCCTCAAATAAAGGAGGAGTATCTTACGATATGTCTGTTCACAACGACAGGGTCACCAGGAATTATGTCTTGCCAGAACCTCGAGTTTCTTTCTTCCTGTTAGAATTTGAAATGATAAAGTAGGTGTTAGAATCGAAACGAGAATGGATGGACTAAGTGAAAGTTGGGTACAAAATGTAAACCCTAGAAAACTGTACCCCATATGTGCCTACAGTAGCTATGTCATATAAATCTGACACACCCCCATAGGCAAAGTGGGGGAGAACAAGGGGTCACAAGACCAGTCAAGCACAGCAAAGCAAGCTCAGGGTGGATCACAAAGTCACCACACATTCCGAGCACAAGTTCAAGGCCACAAGGCCAGTTCACATGCAGGATTACATATATATATAAGGCTAGACAAGCAAGAGCAGGTGTATATATATATGCAACAGTACAAACAAGGTCAAGGGGTGAGCAAGTGAGTCAAGGTAGGCACAAGACCCAGCTGAGTACAGAAGCGCTGATGATCACAAGGCGCAAGTGCCTTGGTGAAGATATCAGCAGTGTTGGCCTGAGAGGCCACGTACGCAAGCCGCAGCTGACCACGCTGCTGTAGCTCACGAGCAAGGAAGTAGCGGAGAGCAATGTGCTTCGTTCTGTGCTCCAGTCTCTGCTCTCGACACAAGGCCAGCATGGCCTTGTTGTCTACGTACAGCACTGGAGGAGAACGAGGCGGCTCTCCGAGGTCAGTCAGCAGGTAGGTGAGCCAGCGAAGCTCCTGTGCAGCCATGGCCCCGGCGTAGATCTCAGCCTCACAACTGGAGCCGAGAACAGAAGACGAGCGGGTAGCCCGCCACGAAACAGAGCCGGAACCAAGGCTGAAGGTGTAACCCTGTGACGACCGCTGCGTAGCCTGGTCGTCAGCCCAAGAAGCGTCTGCGTGCCCAGTGAGGACCACTGGACTCTGCCCTCCAAGCACAAGCCCCATGCCCGACGTACTGCACAAGTAACGCAACAACCTCTTCGCTGCAGCCATGTGCTCCGGTCTGTGTCTCCCAGGAGCAACATAGCGTGCGAGAATGCTAAGAGGGTATGCGAGGTCAGGTCGTGTGCAGGTCATCAGGTACATGAGGCAGCCAACAAGCTCTGGGTACGGGCCACTCGACTCTACGGACTCATCCGAAGGCAGAGCTGAGAGCGAGTGGCGAGTAGGCAGAGGAGTGGCCTGAGGCGAGGAGTACGTGAAGCCGAAGCGCTGAAGGACCTGCTGCACCATGTGTGACTGAGTCAGGGTAATGGTGCGGCGTGCTCTGTCCCGGGTGATCTGCAAGCCAAGGTAGCTGCGCAGTTCACCCAGGTCTGTGCACGTGTGTCTCTTCTGCAGCTCGGAATTCACGTGGGCGAGTCCAGCAGTGTCAGCTGTGGCAAAGACCAAGTCGTCGACGTACACGAGGATGTAGAACGGCGGCAAAGAAGTGTCGGTGCGCAGAAACAGCGACGGGTCGGCAGTAGAGGGAGCAAACCCAAGAGCCGCAAGTGTAGTCCTCAGTGTGTCGTGCCACTCACGCGGTGCCTGGCGGAGACCGTAGACTGGCCGCCGGAGGCTCCACTGGGTGCCAGGAGGAAAAGACCCAGTGAAGCCAGGTGGGCGACGCAGCCAGATCTCCTCGTGCAGGCTGCCCTGCAAGAAAGCAGTGCTGAAGTCAAGAGAGTGCAGCTCGTAGTCGCGGTGAGCAGCTATGTGCAGCAGTACCCGAAGAGTGGTCATCTTCGGGGTGGGAGAGAAGGTCTGAAAGTAGTCAACTCCCTGCCGCTGACTGAAGCCACGAGCCACGTAACGTGCCTTGAAGACAGGCGGAGAACCCGGCGGTCGCTTCACCCTGAAAATCCACATGCCACTGACAATGTTCGCCCCAGGCGGGGGAACCTTGTCAACGTAGGTGCCTGTGGACTTCCAGGAAGCCATCTCTGTGTCCATAGCTGCCTGCCACTGAGAGGAGTAGGGACCCTCTATCGCCTCCGCGTAAGAGCGCGGAGTCGGGATGTCAAGTGCATCCGGGTCTCCCTCAGGGGTAAGCAGTACGGACACGAGATGAGGTGAAGCAGCAGCCAAACACTGGAACTCCTCCTGCCTGTCCTCAAGGACGTCCGTGCCAAGGGCACACTCACCCCCGACGGACGGAGGACAGACAGACTCAGACGCAACGACAAGACTAGCAGCGTAGTCTAGACGACAGCGAGCAGCAAAGTCGACGAGCTCAGCAACTAGGGCAGACGCAGCAGTGGACTCAAAGGAAGGGTCAGTGACGACAGTAGCAAGGAGACGCGTGACAGTAGGACTGGCAGCACGAAGAGAGTCCGACTCCGGGTCGGGAAGAGCAGGAAGAGAGGACTCAGGAGGAGAAGGCAAAGGGGCACGCAGAGGAGCAGTGGATGGACGCAGAGACATCCGGTGCGTGCCAGGGACAGGAGGAGGACGCTGACGCGAACCACGGCCACTAGTGCGAGCAAGACGGACAGGCGACGCAGGGCGAGACGCAGGCTTACGACGCTCAGCCAGACCTCCAGTAGGACCAGTGTAGGGAGAAGGAGCGGGCAGTGTGAAGGCCGGCTGTAACTGTAACTGGGACGGGACAGGCTGTGGACACTCTAAGGGAGGAGGAGGACCAGTAGAAGGCGGGAGACCAAGAACCTGCTGAAGGAGCGGAACGAAGTACGGCCGAGGCCGCGCGGCGACTCCAGACACAGCAGGGACAGCACCAGTACCCCCAGCGGCAGCACCAGCGCCAGCAGCACCTCCAGCTCCAGTACCTCCAGCAGCACCAGGAGCACCCCCAGCAGGACCGCCTCCAGGACCGACAGCAGTAGCCTCAGCGCCAACACCCGCAGCAGCTCCAGCTCCAGGCGTACCCGTAGGCCCAGCAGCTCCAGTACTCCCAGTACGAGCACCTCCGGGACCCGCGGCACCAGCACCCGCAGCAGTCGAAGAACCTCCAGCTCCAGCAGCACGCCTCCAGCGTCGGGCAAACCACTCTCGCAGCTCCTGTGGAGAGAGTGGCTCCCGCCGAGACGAAGCACCCGGAGAACCTCCTGGCTCAGCACCGCCAGACGCCACACGAGCAGGCCCAGCTCCCTCAGGCTCCGCACCCCCAGGCTCAGCACCTCCAGGCGTAGCACCCCCAGGCTCAGCACCCCCAGGCGTAGCACCCCCAGGCTCAGCACCCCCAGGCTCAGCACCCCCAGTAGTAGCACCCCCACGCTCAGCACCCCCAGGCTCAGCACCCCCAGTAGTAGCACCCTCAGGCTCAGCACCCCCAGGCGTAGCACCCACACGCTCAGCACCCAGAGCAGCAGCCTCACCAGTACCTAGAGCAGCAGTCTCAATGCCCGGGTCGGGCGGAAAACACCGGTAACAGTCACCCTCATCACTAATAGTCACAGCATACATGGCAGCAAGAATAGCATCAAAGTCAAGGTCAAAGACAGCTACACCCGCCCTAGACAGCTCGCCCCAGCGGGGGATCTCAGAGGCCTCAGGGAACTGGTGACACCAAGTGTCCG